ACACCAGTAACCGTTACTTCATTTGAGCTTTTTCCAGTCAACTTTGTATTCAACACTGAGTATGTGGCTTCCGTATCTACAAGAAAGTCAATTGGCTTGTTCCCCACAGTCACTTGCACCCGGGGCTCCTGTGGGGAACTAGTGATGGGTCAGGAGATGTCCAATGGAGCCCCTGGGCCTCCTCATTCATTGTCATTCTCTGTTTCTTGCTTTACCATCAATCGACCTGGATTCTTACTTTTACTTTCCCTTTTGCGATGTGGGCACTCATTCCTCCAGTGCCCCTCCTCCTTGCAATAGGCACACTGATTAATGCCTATTGTGCCTTTCTTCTTCTCCTTAGGGCCCCTTTTGCCACTGGCACGGTGGTGGGCACCTGATGAGTTTCCTTTCTCTGCCCCATGGTCCTGCTTCTTTTGGTTTCCCTGGGCTAATTCCAAAAACACTGTGGCCCGTTTTGCCTTCCCTGCTTCCCGAGCATTGTAGACTTTAAATGCTATATCTACTAGCTGGGAGCAGCTCATTCCCAGTACTCCGTCTACACGCTGGAGTTTGTTTCTGATATCCGGAGAACTCTGTCCAATAAAAGTCGTGTTTATCATTCTCGCATTTTCTGGTGCCTCTGGATCAACATCGGTGTATTTCCTATATGCTTGATAGATCCTTCCTAAAAATTCAAAAGGATCCTCGTCTGGCTTCTGCTGGAGAGTCTGTATCAAGTTCAGACTCTTCTGCTTGGGCACTCCTTTCCTAAGTCCTTCTAATATACACCTTCTATAGTGTCCCAAAGAGGCTAAACCGTCTCTGCTATTCGGGTCCCACTTAGGGTCCACCCAAGGAATTGCCTCAGCTGGGCGGAGGATCCCCTCGGTGTCATCATCATGGAGACGCTGGGCCTCCTGATCAGCCCTATTTAGAACCAACCGTCTTTCGTCTGCCGTTAGTAAAATGTTCAGGAGGGCCTGTATGTCTGCCCAGTTTGGGTGATGAGTGGCAAAAATACAGGCGATAAGATCTGCCATCTTCTGAGGATCATTCCTGTATGAGGGGTTGGCATTCTTCCAGTTCAGTAAGTCTGAAGTGGAGAACGGTGTGTGGGCCCAATAATAGCCAGCAGGCTGACCTTCTTCATTTATGCCCCCTATTGGGTATTGCCTCAAAGGGTATTGGCTGGCTACGCCTTTGGAGGCTCCCCGGTTATAGGAGGTACCCTGGCGAGTTCTCGGGGGTGAGAAGCATTCCTCAGCAGCTGAGGGTGTAGCAGTTGGCTTATCAGTCTCAGCTTCAGAGGCAGCTCTGGGAGGAGACAGTACTGAGCTGGCTCCCACCGTCTGTGGAAGGGGAGGCATCACGGCAGTGGCAGTTCTCATCACTTGTGCTGCTGGAGATGTAGAAACCTCCACCAGCTGTGAAGGCGGCAACCCCATGGAGGTCCCTCCCACCTGAATGGAGTGGTGCCCCAAGGCTTCACCCTGCAGAGGGGGCCAGGCCCCTCCCACCTGTGAGGGGATCTGGCCAGTGGAGATGCTCCCCACTCCCAGGGGGTGGGGCGGAGGCACAGAGCAGGCTCCGCCCACCTGTGAAGCCCCGGAGACTCCGGTTCCAGGAGCCCCTGAGGCTCCAAAGGCTCCTCCTACCTGGGGGCATGGGGGCACCGCAGAGGCGCCCTCCACCCACTGGGGGTGGTGCACTGAGGCTGCGGTCACTGGTGGAGGTGGGGCAGAGGCCCCGCCCACCTTTGCTGGTACCGGAGGGGGAACTCCCCCAACCCACTGGGGTCTGGGTTCCCAGGCCACAGGCCCAGGTGGACCACAAGCTCCACCCACCTGCAGGTGTGGGGGCGCCACAGAGCCACCCTCCACCCACTGGGGGCAGTGCACTGAGGCTGCAGTCACCAGTGCAGGTGGAGAACAGTCTCCGCCCACCTGTGAAGGTGGGGGCCCTGCAGCTCCCCTTTCCCAGGAAGACCCTCGCAACCCCTGTTGCGCAGAGCCCAGTCGCAGAGGCTGCGAGTCTGTGGTGGAGACTTCTCCCACTTGCAGGGCAGGAGAAGCCGCAGTGGGCCTCACCTCCCCAGAAGGAGTTCCAGCTCTCTGGGGTCCCCCATTCCCTGGGTTCAGAGCATTAATTAAGTTTCTTTCCTCATCATCTTTCTCCTCCTGTGATCTACTATCAGGGAGGGGTTCTGAGACCCTTTTCTCCTTCTGGACCATTACACGCTTCTCTGTCTCTGGCATAAGGCTGTTGTGTAATATTATAAATGCATTAAGGTAATGTAATTCCTCGGAGAGTTCACACTGCCGGCAATACCGTTTCAATCTAGTAATGATGCAGTAACTTAAAGAACCATTCACAGGCCATCTCAGCTCATCACTCAAAACATAAGTAGGCCACACGGTGTTACAATAGTAAATCATTAACTCCTTAGCCAAAGGATCTCTGTATGTCGACTTAGCGCGGTAGCTCTCCCAATCTCTAAGGATTCTGCCCAGTGGACTCCACTTAGGCACCGGCTCAGAACTACTCACACAGTTCCAACAAAGCAAACATAGATTCAGAGCAAAAAGAATACAGATGGCGTAAAGACCAGGTATTTCCCCTGCTATCGCCCACAATTCCAGCTCCATTATTGCCAAAGAGCAGTCAGAAACCAAGTTTTCAACCCAAAACTCTTTCACGTCTCTGTTCCCTTCCCCGTTTCGTTTCCTTTTCACCTTTCCAGGCGTGATTAGGCGGCCGATGCCCTCAAGAGCGCAGAGAAATCCTCAGAGACTGGGAAAATTCCAAAGCCTCACTCTCTCGCACCTGAGGGGGTTGGTCTGCTAGGGACAATTATCGGCCCACCCAGGGAAGCCAAAAACTGTGACCGAACAAGGAGGGGGGCGGAATACAATATTTGGCCCACCTAGGGATGCCAAAAACTGCTATACAACAGGGGCCCCTCCCAAGGACAAAATACTAATATCTACTGGGCTCTTCTGTCCACCGCCAATTGGAAAGACATCTCTCAATGCCAGAGATTTGTGAAAAGGAAACAAAATGTTTATTTAATGCTATTCAGGCCTAATGCCTCTACTAAAATATCAAAGTCCTTTAGGTTGTACACCTACACCCACACAGCGCTCCCTTCTCCCACTGTCCCAACTCCGGGTACCGTAAATCAGGAAAAGAGCACACATCTGTGTTTCAGGCCGCTGGCACCATCAGCTGTGTCACTGTGCAGGATCTCCAGTTAATCCAAAATACTGTGGCACCCTCTCATGGTCCACTGGCAAGAGTCCTTTGTACCCAGTTCCAATCAAAGTCTCTCTTGCTTTTCAGGCCCCGCGGCCAAAGGGGGCACCCCAAAGCCGCGTGGGCCTCTTCTACCAAAGCTGCAGGAGTCCGCACTCCACCAAAAGCATGTGGCTTTCTTCTTCACCTGGCTGCAGGGATCTCCATTCTGGCAAAGCTGCGTGGTTTTTCCCTTTCACCTGGGAAAGAGGGGGTCCGCACCCTGCCAAAACCACGTGGCTCCCTCTTTCACCTCACCAAGAGGGGGGTCTTCACTCTGCTGAAACCGCGTGGCTCCCCCCTCAATGGCTGCTGTGTCTGGCTTTTAAATCCTAGCCCCCATCTTCCTCTGTACCCCTATTTCTGACTCCTCCCAAGATCAGTTACACCTGCCAGTATTTCTGTACTAATACAAGTTTACTGGGCTGCCATCGTTAGTCTGGGCAGTAATCATTCCATGTCCTCGAGCCAATCTTCTCCAAGCCCCCACGCAGGCGCTGTAACTTGGGGGACCTGCCCCCAGTTACATCTTGAGGGTAAGTGACTTCATCCCCCTAGCGCCAAGCCTGGCCACAGCCATTTAACATATCCAAGTGACCGCCAAAGGCTATAGATATGTTAAAAGACAATGCCATGGATTAGCTGCAAGGCTGTGGCTGTACAACACTGTCCCTTCCCCCCAACTCACACCTGTGGGGGGTGGGGGGAAGGGGTGAGGACATCTTACATGTCTCTCCATTATTCCTATACACTTTGAATTCTGGACACCATTCCAAATCTTTTTTTGGGGCGCCCCTTGGCTGCACCCTGTATCAAGGGTAGACTTGTTCGTGAAGTAGGGTTTTACCATATTTTTTGTGTGATCAGCAGTCTTCCCTGAAGCTCTAGAAGCTCATTGGTTCTTATCTTTAGCTACTCATAAGATCACCTGTAGCTCTTTTCTAACGCCCACTCCTCAGCAGGCCCCCGGCCCCAATGTGTTAAGTCTACAGCTCATCAGGTGATTCCTGTGCAGCAGAGGTTAAGAATCCCTGCAATGTCTCTAACCAGGGTCCTTGTGGGGTGGTGCGGGCTCCAGCTGTTGATCAGTCGGGCAGCTCCCCAGTTAAATACACACATGTCCTCGGCTCTTTTCTGGAGGAAAAATATTTGCATGCCCTACCTCACTCAGGCCCAGCCCGTTCTCAGAACAAAATTCTGCGTTTCACTGGACCAAATTTGAGAACCAAGTTAGACAAACTAAAGCAGAAATAAATTTCTTCCGAGTGCCAAAAAACTCAATATCGTTCTCAGTCTTCCCCCGGAGGTGAAAGCCAGAAATAGGAATGGTCTGAAGGATGGGAAAGACACATTTCCCACCGGAGGACATAAGGAATGTGACAGCACACGTGGTCAGTACTTCCAGGGTGACCATAAGCCTAGACATCCACACCAGTTTCCTTTCCCTGCAGCCACTACAACGTAAACCCTCCCCTCTAGCCCGAGCATCTACAAGGTCTCACCGGCTTGGCCTGGGTGAGGGTTTCATACGTCATATTTAAGGGCACAGGCCGCTTAGACTTCTGGGAAATACAGTCCGTGAGGAGACCGAGCATTGATTGGGCGCTCAGGCGTCAGAGCCCTTTGCGCAGGCGCACTGCTTTCCCAACCTGAAGAGGCGCTGTCTTCCTGATTTCTGAGCACTGTGTATCCGAGGTGAGAGCGGCGGGTTTGTGTCTTCGAGATGCGGAGTGAGCGCAGCTGTCGTGAGAAAGGGACGCCAAGAATCTGGGGGGGAGGTGTTATGGGAGTAGAGTAGGGTATCTTGGAAGAACCTTCCGCTGTGTGTACGCACCGGCCCGGGAGCGCTTGCGCGCTTGGCAGTGTCCCGGCTCTGAGTGGTGCGGGCAGAAAGTTCTCTGTCCCCGACCCACGAGTGTGCTGGTAGAACTTAGTGACACGACCGAATGTGTGTGTGTCGGTCCGGTGGGTGCGGGCAACAGCCACTGTACACTATATACCATATTCCAGCTTTCAGATTGGAAGTTTGGAGCGTTACTCCTGTCAACGAAAACTTAAGGAGACTCACCTTTCTGAGAGACAAAAAACAGTTTTGTTCAAAATGGTTTGCAGACCAGGGAGACACAGCCTCCAGGATGAACCTCAGGGAATGTGGGGCAACGTTTTTAAAGGCAAAAACCACAGAAAAACGCTGACCGTTAATGGGATTGGTTGCACAGAGAAGCAGAGTCATAGGTATACAGTATACATTTTCTGCTTGGTTAAAGCAACCAGGCTTTCTAGTTTCCGTTAATTCGTGGTCAGCAGGTAGAGTTAGGAAATGTGGCCAACGGTTGGAGTCATGAGACGGCAGCACAGGGTATCACAAGACTGAGACCATTGTTTCAGTTTCCCTTGGAGCTTGTAAAACAAACTTATAAAACAGGTAATAATAGAACAGACAATGTAGGCAGAAAGTGCAGTTTGTCATGTGGACTGAGTCAGAGTTCAAACTGCAGAGTTGCCTAGTCTCTTAAGCAAAACCAGAGACCAAAATGCAAAAATGGCCGGATATTTGGCCACGAAGGTATGTTAAAGTACTCCTCTCCTCCCGCCCCTTCTTCCTCCTGTGGGTGTTCACTAAATGCAGGTGGAACTGATACTATATCTAGCATGCTGCCTACTTCAGTCCCTCTGTCTTTTCCAGAAACCTCAGATTATTTAGCTCCCTACCTTGGGCCTCCACACAAGTGGTCATGGGTGGGGTGGGTGTTTATGGGAGTGGTTGCATAGAGGATCAGGACAAGACACACAGTCAAGGTGGATTGTATGGGTCTGATTTGGGACTCACAATAATAAAACTTTTAGGGGACAGTTGTTACAGAGGTCATATCCAAGACTCAGAGAGAGGAAAGGACTAGTGGCAGAGAGCCAGTTAGGAATAGTTGGTAGTCATCCTGAAGCAAGCTGTTAGGGACTTCAGTTATGATGGTGTCAGTGGTAGGATACAAATGACACTGCAAAAGAAGAGTCAAAAGGAACTGGTGACTGACTAGATTTGGGAAGAAAGAGAGTGAGGTAAGAGTGAATTTGGGGCACCTCGGAGGGTATTAGAACATCTGATAGAAATGTAAAAATGGAGAGGAATTGATGTGGGGAGTTGAAGACGGGAAGATGGTTTTGAGGTACTGGGAGAATGTTTAATTCAAAATTGCCATCATTTGGAGGAATTTTGAATGTTTAATTTAAAATTGCAGGTGAGTTTGGAAGAAGCATTGGGACTAGACTGGGAACAATCTCTGTAGAAGTAGAAATGGAGTGCTAGGTGTGAATGGACTTTCTGAGGGATAGCAAGAAGAACACTGTACAAAGACTGAGCCTGGGGCAGCATCCATGTTCCCAGAGCAACACTGGGAAAAAGAGTCACAGAGAGCTGCGCTGTTAGTGGGAGGAAGAAAGTTAGGCTAATGCATTATCAGAACAGCTACAGCAACTTGAAGAAGCAGAAACTTGACAAAACAGTCAGAAGCTGGCAAGAAATAAAGATAAGGCAAAAAGGATTATTGCAACTAGAGCTTTGAAAGGCATTGTTAATTTTCAAGCACGCAGATTCAGGTGTGTGAAGGGTGGCAAGACTGGAATAATGATTCAAGAATATGTGGTGATGATGTGGAGTGAATAGGTATATATTACTCATCCAAAAAGTTTGGTCATGAAAGGAAAACCTAAATGAGAACTGTTTTTGCTAGAGGGAGGCCACGGGATTCAGTGAAGATAGTTTCAGATAGAGGAGGATTATATCTGTTTGAACATATGGGAAGAAGGTACAGGAGAGATGGGAGATGCTGGAGAAAGAAAAACTGAGTAATGCAGGGAGCCAATTCTGAACAGGTACAATAGTGAAAAAGAAAGTAAGACACAGTTATGGGACACTAAGGTAGAGTCCTTAGTGTCACAGACACAGACTTTGCTGTTTTGTTGACCTCACTCCCCTGCTACCTAGAGCATAATTTTCATTGAATAGTAGGATAAATGGGTTTGTATTGGGCAGTAGAAAGGAAAATTTATTGAATAGGCTATAAGATAAATGCTTTACATTAATTATCTCACTATTTACAACTAGTCCATGAAGTAGAAATTACACAACTGGGGGTCAACTGTTAGCATAAGTAATCAATTAATAATGCCAGGTCTATAGACTGCTTTCTACCTCATGGTCCTGCCTCCCTTGGAACTCTTGTGAAGTTCAGTATAGTAAAAGACATTGATTTCCTAAAATTGAGTGGTAGCCATGGAGGTTTGAAATAACTACAGAGCTAGGAGAGGAACAGTAAAAGCTTTTAGGCAAGGGCTCATTTGAAGATACAAAACAAGAATTTGAAGAACATTTTCTCCAGAAACACTGTGAGATGCAAGAATTGCACTGTGCTAAGTATTCCTTCTGAGGATAGTTTAATTCTATCCTCATAAAGTCAGTAAGCTAGGTACTGTGTTACAGTTAAGTAAATTTAGGTTTTGTGAGAGGCTTAGGTAGAATTTGAACTCAGGTCTGTTTTTTTTCCTTAAAGTTGTATTTATTTATTTTTAGAGGGAGAAGAAGGGAGGGAGAAATTAAGGGAGAGAAACATCGATGTGAGAGAGAAACATTAATTGGTTGCTTGTTGTATGTACCCCAATCAGGGATCAAACCTACAACCCAGGCATGTGCCCTGACCAGGAAGCAAACTAGCAATCTTTTGGTTTGTAGGACAACACCCAGTCAACTGAGCCACACTGGTCAGTGCTGTCTAGCACTTTTTAACCTCTGTGCTATAATGATTTATTTTCTGAAAAGATAGGACAGTGCCTGGTCAGTAGCAAATGCAAATGCTCAAAAAATGCTAGTTATTAATATGATGGTTAATGGTGTTACATTGTATTGATGGGCTGGATCATAAATTAATCAAATCTCCTATTTAGAAATTTAGGATATTTCAGATTTTGTCTGTATTATTGAAGGATTAAGTGAGATAATACACATAAAGTTCTTAGAAGGTTTCCACACATAGTACTCAATAAAGTTTAATGTTAATGATTAAGAAAAAGCTTTGCATATATTCTTTCTTATTTTCCTAGGATAAACTAGGGGAGAATGGCTGGGTCAAAGAATATACATAATTCAAGGCCCTTGATACAAATCGAAATGATCTAAGATCTGATAATGACACATGCATAAATCCTTAAGTGATCCCCACTGCCACACTGGAAAAGGGAGGATACAGGGCTCTCCTGGATCTAGCCAGTGACTGCCTACTTCTCCAACCTCATCCTTTCCCACAGCTCTGCTCGCAGCCTAGACATCTGCCATTCTAAAGTAGTTACAATTGTTAATCCTTTCCATGTAGAGACCTGCCTCCTTGTTTTAAAAAAAATAGGTGTTTTTCCTAGCTAGAATCTCCTCCCCCAAGTCACAACTTATTTTACATCCCATTTCTGCCCAGAAACCTGCCCTGTTCTTTCCTCCCTCCCATCTGGGTTAGGCAAGCCTCTGATGTCTATCAGAGTTTTCTGTATATATCTCTTTACAGTACTTATTCATCCTACAGTGAAATTTATTTTGGTTACTTGCTTGTCCAATATGCTAGGCTACATATAAGCTTTTAGAGGACAAGGGCAATATACAGTTTTTGGGCTTGGTATCAATAGTTGGTGCTGAATATGCGTCGGTTGGATAAATGGATGAATGAAAAAACAAAGATCAGTGAACATACCCCCTTGACAGCAAGAGAGCAGTCAGTAACCCATATCTCTTCTGCCTTCTTCCCAGAACCATACTCTCTCCCCATCCCAGTCATAAATCCCAGCAATGCTTGATTTAACTATGTTTTAATTAGACTCTTGTTTGTAAGAAACCGAGACATAGCTAAATCAAGTAAAGACTGTAGTGATAAGGATTCACAGAAAGCCTAATAAAGAGGGTTGGAGTCTTATGGAAGTCAAGAATAAATAAGGTTTCTATGCACACTGAAGCCCATGGGTGGTACTAGGGGAATGGAAGGACTTGGCTTCAGTGCTTTACCACTAATGTGGCTGGGCTGCTCTTTCCCCTGACTGCAACTGTTCCTGCTTCCCACATAGCCAGGGGTTCTGCCTTCTGGTAACTTTGGCTTCCCTAATCCTTGTGGCTACTCTGTCCCTCAGGGTACCTTTTTAGCTCATCATCTACTTGTTGTCCTGGTGTTTCTTAGTTCACCTTCCTGAGGAAGGATGTTATCTCTTCAAGTTAGGTCACATTTCAACCTGCTGGGCAGCCTGTAAAATGCCCACCTGTGGCCTATTAATTATTGGCTGTCCTTGGGCAAAGGGTTATAAATAGAGTATCTTTAAAGAGACTTTGGTATTTACTTGACTGTTATCTATGTAGTTTATAAAATTTATGTTTTTTATCCAGTAACTGTCAGGGCAATATTGAATGAATTTGTAAGTGTAGTATGAGCCTTAATCTGTTTTCGACTCCCAGGAACAAAACTTTGCCTCTAGAATCATGGTGAAACAAGTACCACATTGTGTTCTGACTTGCAATGTACATGCCTTTTGCTGTAGTGCTGGGGCAGGGTTGGCTTGCCCCTCGTCTTGCTTTACTTTCCTTCCCTTTCTATAGGATGTTGAGTTGAGGATGGATATATAACCCACTGGTACACAGAGAATTCTTACTTCATGGGTCAGAAAAGTACAAATAAGACTAGTCTTTCTTATACTTACCTTCCCATCCCACACCTTTACTTTATTAGGACTCTGCCTTTATCCACACGGAGAGCACACAGGAGGGAATGGCTGCTGTGGCTCCGACTGCCAGATACCAGGTGATGTAGGCTTTTCTGTTTTTGAAATACTTTATTAGTCTGTAGAATGTAAACCCTTTTCTTTCTCTCTCCTGGAGCTTTTTTGGTCAAACCCACCAGGTACATGAAGGATTCCATCGGGAGTGCTTCCTTCCCCTTTGACTTGTGGTGTCCTTCAGTGACCTTTTCATGCCTTGAACATGGGCTCACTAGCCTGTCATCAGGCACATAGCCCCCGTGGCATTCACTCTGAGTGATTTTGCCTAAAAAAGGTTGTACAAGTCTGATTGGAAAGTTTGGGGAACAGTGGACTGGTTTAGTTCTTCTTTGTATATCTTTTCTTTGTATATCCATGTATGGACTGAAAGTAGGCCCCATGTACTCCAGGGAGTGTTGGGTTAGGCTGGGGAATGTGAGCACCTCAATGAGGTCATAAGAGTTTTGAGAGTTGGTGGGCAGAGACCTGTGCTTGCCCCATTTCCACTCAAAGGCAGAGGGTCTTGAATTCTGTGCTTTGACTTAAAACTTCTGCAGACACACTAGAGACTCATCTGGGGTTTTAGGGTGGAGGATAAAGGTGCAATCTTACAAAAATCACAGACCTTTAGAGAAACTGAGAGGGATCCTAAAGATTTATCTAATCTACATCATTAAGGATTTGTTAAAAAAGACAATGGGTGGAATTTGAATAAGGTTGTAGATTAGACAATAGTAAAATGTTAATACTATTTTCTTGATTAACTTATAACTGTGATTATACAAGAGAATATCTTGTTTTCACAAAATGTACACTGAAATATTAGTGAGTAGAGGGATATCATGTTTGCAAGTTAGCTGTCAAAGAGTTCAGGAAGAATATAGGAGAAGAAAAGTATACTCCGAGAGACAGGAAGATAAAGCAAATGTGGAAAATGTTAACATTTGGGGAAATTGGGGGAAGGGTCCATGGGAATTCTTTGTTTCTTTCTTACAAGTTTTCTGTAAGTTCGAAAATTAAGAGCCTTAATACTCAGAGGCTCAGCTGTGACTATAGTGGTGTGGGGTTATGACCAATAGGGATTATGCTACTTTTTCCAAGTGCATCAAAGCTCTACTTTGTCATACCATTTTCTTTCCCCTCCCTCTACAACCTTTAGGGCTCTCATCTTTATGACAGTTTTGTCTGGTCCATGTAAAGAGAAGGGTTATGAGTAAGGGAGAATGTAATTGTGTTTGCAGGAATCAGTGACATTCATGGATGTGGCTGTGATTTTCACAGACGAAGAGTGGGGGCATCTGATCCCTATTCAGAGGGATCTCTACAAGCAGGTGATGCTGGAGAACTATGAGAGCATTGTCTCACTAGGTAAGAAGAGCTTCCCATAAGTAGCTGGACTCTGTACCATGTTGATATGGGGTTGAAGGGCTAATAAATTGATACTTCTTCTCCCACCTGAGTTCTGAACCACTGAGAGACAAAATGGAAGAGTAGGAGGATGTGGCTTAAGTGTACAGCAACAATGGGCTTCCTAATCTTGAACCCCAGCATTGGACAGACTTGCTCCCATTGCTTGCTCAGCAGCCTGGCCCTGCAGCACAAAGAGCCTGGAGAAGTAGAGCAGATGTGTACCTCCTGCAGGGAGCTGGCTCTCCAGAGAGGGCAAACAGAAGAAGCCAAGTTCTTTATGCCCAGCTCTTTCCCCAACTCATCAGGCAAGTAACTTAGTCAGCTCCATCCAGAGTACTAAGGGTGGATGAGGGGCCATCTTTTTGAAAGAAAATATCTCCTCAGAATCAAACAAGGAGGGGAGACGTGTTTTACTTTAAAAGAATGTGGTGTGGGAGTTGGAATACAAGGTTGTACCTTAGAGTAGGTCACTAGAAGTGTTATTGATTTTGAATATTTGTCTTAACTGACATCTTAGATGCCCACAGAAGACACTTTGTAATTAGAGACTTTCATGACAGAGGAAAAATTAAGAATGACTGCTGATGTGAGGTATTCATGAGAAGTAAAGCTGGGCTCCTGTAGGTAATGGAACCTCTCAGGAGCTTCCAGAATAAGGGGCTGAGAGAATGTGCAGATTTAGAGCCAGGCTTACAATAAGCATCAGGTGGCAGTAAAAGGAATCACATTGCAGATTTTTTGCAAGGCACGTCAAAAAAACAAGTGTAACACCTCCTGGATTAGCCTAAATAGGCCAAATGTGGAGAATAGAATAGTGTTCATGGAGTATTAAGGGAGACTACTAAACCTTTGTCATAGGCTTTGGTGGGATGAAATACCGGGGAACATAGAATTCATCAGACCAGAGACAGGAAGCCCTAAGGAAGTGATGAATGTGGCCACTTTGTCAGCAGAAAATCAGCATACAACTGGATAGATGATTCTGGGGCCCAGTAAGAACGTACTTCTCTTTCCTAAGTTGGGGGACTAATGCAAGGGAAGTTTAGACCTCAAGACTATTTCTAGGAGGAGAATCTGTATAACCAAAATGGATAGGTTCACTTCTAGACATTTGTCCTGAGGAAGTAATAGGATTAGAGGCCCATGCTGCATATACAAGTTAATATATTTTTTAAATATTAAAACCAGTCTGAAATGTCTGTCAGCAGGAGATTAAATTAGATTGTTCCATACAATATAGTATCAGGTAGTCATTTAAATGGTGAGATTAGGTCTGTGTTAATGGAAATAATTTTTAAATTTATTCTTACATGAAAAACTGAAGTTTACAAATCAACATTATTTCATTATCCAGTTTTTCACAGTTATATCTATAGGTATCTTTTTGAACTGAGATGAATAGAAATAAAAATAATACAAAGTACGAAAAATATTTTTCTTTTGACTTACACATAACCTCTAATATTCCTACACTAAACATGAGTCACTTCTTTAAATAGAAGCATAATACTAAAGGGTAAGCAAACAAAAACATGCACTTTTATTACATGTTTTTATTCAAGATGATCTTTTTTTCATTATCTTCCTTGAGCCAAGGACTGTATCCACCCATCCTACCAGCACTAAGGCCAAGAGCATCCCATTTGCCTCTGGAGGAAGAATAAACACATTCAAGGGAATTTTATCAAATTCTTGACCAAGTGCTACTTGTTCCTTTTTAGAACCTCAGTGTTGACCTCTATCCAGATGTGCCTACATCTTCTGCATTACTTTGTAGTCCATATTCTTAGAATGCATGGTCTGCCTTCTGTATTTTCTCTGTGAAAGTCCTAGAGGCTGAGATTAAGCTTTGGAGTGGTTGTGCATTTTCATTTCATACCTGGCTTGTTTCTTTCTCCATGAGCAGGACTTCCAGTTCCTCAACCTGATGTGATTTTCCAGTTGAAGAGAGAGGATAAGCCTTGGATAGTTGATCTTCATGGATCTGATGAGAGAGGGAACATTTCTCTAGGTAACTGCATTATCAGCAGGGTGGGGCAGTTTATTTTGTGCTTATTTGGGGGTTTGTGGCAGGGAGTATTGCCACATCTTTTTTCACATCTTCTGCTTTAGTGCTATTTTCTCCCCCACTAGCTTTCATTTTTCCTATACCTAAAGATATTATTCATCTTTATTCACCAAATGCTACTGTCAGATCTGTTATATTGACTATTCACAATTTGATTCCTATTTTTCATCATCCTCTCCACTTAGCATACTCTCCTAATTATCCTGACCATGTTTCCTATAGAAATTCTTTTCTCTTCTGAGATGTCCAGCATCAGATCTATTCCCTGCCTTTTTCTTTATTCCCAAGTCTCAGTCTTTCCCTAAAGAATATGGCTATTTGTGGGAGGAAGCAATACAATGACCATATTACTTGTCAGATTTATCATAGTACCTCTTCTTTTTGCTATAATATTTTCTATTCCTGAAAAGAAACTGCATCTGTGTTTTCTGTCTATTCCAGACTGGGAGTCTAAGCCCGAGATTCAAAGTGCTTCAGAAGAAAAATCAGAAGGAATGTTGAGGGAAAAGCTTGGAAGAAAAGGTCCTCTGTGTCCTAAATTTGAAGTTCATGCACTGGAAGGTGGGTTGGAAACAGAGAAGGCGAGCCCTGCAGTGGAGACCTGCAAGAAATCCTTTTCCCGGGAGGAAAGCTTGCGACAAAGGTCAACTCCTCCCAAGAAAATTCTCACTAAAGACAAAGACCAGGAATGCAGCAGTTGTGGGAAGACCTTTTTTGACCATTCGTCCCTTATCCGCCATCAGAGGACTCACACAGGAAAGAAGCCCTATGACTGTCACGAGTGTGGGAAAGCCTTTTTCAACCGTTCATCTCTAACTGTACATCAGCGAATCCACACTGGAGAGAAGCCCTTTAAATGCCGTGAGTGTGGAAAAGCCTTCAGTCACAGATGCAGTCTGAGCAGACATTTGATGTCTCATACTGGGGAGAGCCCCTATGAATGCAGTGCATGTGGGAAAGCCTTTTTTGACCGTTCATCCCTAACTGTACATCAGCGAATTCACACTGGAGAGAAGCCATTTAAATGCAGCGAGTGTGGGAAAGCTTTCTTTGACCGTTCTTCCCTCACTCGACACCAGAGAATTCATACTGGAGAAAGTCCTTATGAATGTAGTCAGTGTGGGAAAGCCTTCAGCCAGAAAAGCATTCTTACTCGACACCAGCTAATTCACACCGGCAGGAAGCCTTATGAATGTAATGAGTGTGGGAAAGCCTTTTATGGTGTCTCATCACTGAATAGACATCAAAAAGCTCATGCTGGAGAGCCTCGCTACCAGTGCAGTGAGTGTGGGAAAGCATTCTTTGACCGCTCATCCCTTACACAGCATCAGAAGATTCACACTGGAGACAAACCCTATGAATGCAGTGAATGTGGGAAAGCCTTTAGCCAGAGAAGCCGGCTCACGCGACATCAGAGGGTTCACACAGGAGAGAAACCATTTGAATGCAGTGTTTGTGGGAAAGTGTTCAGTTCTAAATCATCAGTTATTCAACATCAACGGCGCTATGCCAAACAGGGAATAGACTGAATTGGGTGAAAGCTTTAGTCAAAGGACCTTCATGAAAACTTAAAATAGGTCTTCCCCATCTTAAATCCATCGATTGATCATTCTAGCTATTCTGGCACCTACTCTCCTGTCTCTGCTACCACAGTATTTGAATAAAAACTCTATTACATTATAGAACTGAAGTGGGATGCTGGAAATTAAGGTGCAACTTTATAAATATAGAGTCAACAATTTGCAGAAGTTTCTCAGACAATAGGATAAATGTTAGGAGGTGATCCTCACACACACACACCTATTAACTGAGGCCCCTGGCATCACTGCACTTTAAATAACTGGAGGCTACAACAGGAGGGGAAAGGCAAAATTGTATCAGCAGGATTATTGTTTCCCAAATAGTTTCTTTTATAGCTGTTAGTCCCTCTCTTGGAGCTTTTTGGGGCACTGATCTTTTTGTTCAGCCCCAGCTTTTAGATCTCTTTAATATGGTTACTACTAATAGCTAGCACTTATTGAACGTTTGTTATAGGTAAGCACTCAGCTAAGAGTTTTCCAAGATTATTTGATCTTTTCAACAACCCTATTAAGTAGGTACTCTTACTACCTGCATTTTACAGGTGAGCAAACTAGAGTTTAGAGAGGTTAAATAAATTGCCCAAGGTGACAGCTAGAAAAAGTTGAAGACAGGTCTACCTTCAAAATCTATTCCCTTTACTGTTATGTTATAAAGTTTGTTTTGTAATTGAAGTGCATGTGTTAGCTACTTAATTAGATTGTAAGCACTTGGAAGCATGGCCTGTGTCTTTGTAGCTCACACAGTGCCTTGCAAATAATAGGTGCCCAATAAATATTTATCTGAATTAATGACTTTTCTTGTTCCCCAGTTCTATTGAAAACATCTCTTGTATTCACATCCTTTCTCTGAATTCTCAGTTTAGCCTATACCTTTATCATCAAAGGGACTCATTACTGCAGTAGTCACTTTCTGATTCTAGTTCTTCCCTCTTCATCACTGAAGAGAGATATGCTAAGCCATGATACCATAACCCCAAATAGACCAAGATTAATTTCTCATATAAAACCTGATGTCAGTCTGTGTACTCCATCCTCATCATTTAGAACATGTTGCTTCCAAGGTCATCATGGAAGAAAAAGCTGGAGGATTTTGTGAGTTATTTTTAAGAGTCATCACTTGTATCCACATCTCATAAGCCAGAACCCAGTACCAAGTATCAGTACCAAGAAGTAAGGAAAGTACACCCTGACTGGTGTGGCTCAGTGGGTTAAAAGTCAGCCTGTTGACTGAGGGCACATGCCTGAGTTGCAGGCCAGGCATGTGGGGGTGCGTGAGAGGCAACACGTTGGTGCTACCCTCCCTCCCTTCCCCACTCTAAAAATTAATACTTTTTTTAAAAGGCTAGCAAAGGAAACGAGCACTTCGATATTTGGTTAACAACAGCTTCTGTTACATATTGCCTCTTATAGTCCATTCTTTCCAAATGACCCTTCTATCCATCTTTGTCTTAGGACTCAACATTGTGTCTCAATTAGTGATGTGTCCCCAGATATAAAGGTTTAGCTTGATGTGATCCCCCATTGCTGAACTTTTAAGTCTTGTCTCTCCAAATTCTTCTATTCCCTGGCCTCAGCCCAATTTTTTGAATTGAAGGTCAGGCATCAGGCAACTTTGACTCGAGGTATCTGCTTAAGGTGAAGCCTGGAGAGGACTTCAACCTACTAATATCCCTGTGGATTTTGGCCCCCCTTTGAGCAGATGAATGGCAGGGAAAGCTTCATATGTGGACTTTTGAAGCAACTTGAAGAAAAACAGTATAGAATCTATTGAAATGGATAATATTGGGTATTATTTAATAAGATTAAGACAAAAATAAAAGGGACTATTGATATCCTTTTGGCTGATGACTGAGAGTTCTGCATCTTTTATTTACTCCCTTGTTAAATGTAAACTGAGGATCAAACATTTCCCTAAGACATTCTGACAACATCAGCAAAATGCAACCAGAAATCAGAAATTTTATATTATTGAGTACAGACAGAGGTAAATAAAACCAAGTGGGGACACAAATATAATAATTGTTTTCCTTTTAAAATATATTCTGCAGATTTAAAAAAAAATGTGAAATACTGTTCCATCTGCTAAAAGTTCTGAAGAAAGGGCCATTTTATCTTTTAATTGGTATCACAATAGGGCATGTAGTAGTGGAGGCATTAAATTTTGTGGTTTTAACTTCACCTAATCGCCATTAGTAAGATCCAATCTTGGAATCAGAAACCAACCAAATTGGAAGTATGACAGAAATTTTTTTTTTAAACAAATAGACATACTTTTTAAAAGAAGGTTTTATTTTTAAAGAGAGGGGAAGGTAAGGAAAAAGAGAAATATCACTTGCCTCTCGCATGCCCCACACTGGGGATCTGGCCTGCCATTCTCTTAGCAGGGAATTGACCCAGCAACCTTTCAGTTTGCAGGACAACGTTCAACCCACTGAGCCACACCAGTCAGGACAGACACATACTTTATTTTTTTATCTTCACCTGAGGACAAGCTTACTGATTCAGAGAAAAAGAAGGAGAGGCCCTGGCTGGTGTAGCTCACTGGATTGGGCACAAGCCTGCAAACCAAATGGTCACTGGTTTGATTCCTGGTCAGGGCACATGCCTGGGTTGCAGGCCACATCCCCAGCGGGGGACACAGGAGAGGCAACCACACACTGATGTTTCCCTCTCTTTCTCCCTTCCCCTCTCTTTAAAAATACATAAATAAAATTTAAAAAAACACAAAAAACATCGATTAGTTGCCTCTTTTATGCACCCCAAGCACGGATGGAACCCAAAACCTAGGCATGAACCCTGACCAAGAATCAAACTGACAACCTTTCCGTTTACAGGATAACACTCAACCACCTGAGCCACCCTGGCCAGGGTGAAATTAATTTTGAGGGAATGAAATAATCTCTCTGGTGCTTAAATAAGACCTAACTAAATTTTAAAAGAAAATGGAATACTTACAAGTTAAGCACTCCACAAATCAACTTTTGCCAGGAAAGTCTGCAATACTAGAGAACTTTTTCCCTACCTTCCCTTGGTAGATACGGTAGATGGAGAAAAATCTGTCTGTGCACTGAATTAACAAGTACATGTCTAGTCATGAGACTTGAGTCTCAAATATGCACTTTCTATAATTAGAAACTAAGGTAGGAAAATAAACAGCAAACTAATATTGATTTAGGAATGCAGATACTTTCACAGTTGGGTTATTAGCTCTTAGTCTGCTCTACATGGAACTTTGTGTAGCTCTGATTCTGGTTGTGCTTGTTCTTCAACTTCTTAAGGCCCTTAAATTTCATGACCTTTGGCTCTTCTGACCTCTGGTGGGACCACCTGTCACCTAACTGTTCTTGTTTCTAGGGTGGTGGTTTTTATCTTTGTTTTCATCTTATTAATGACTAAGATTCCTTAGCCTGGTCCTGCTATTCCACTGATATCCTGGATAAGATGCCTTCCCTTTCTCTTCACTTACTTGTAGCTCCTGAAGGTGAAAATATACCAAAAAGTTCCAAGTCCAGTTGCAACAGTCAGCTGCAGCCCTGGCAGCTGTGGGGTGAGGTTCGGGGAGAAGAGTGTCCAGGTTTAAGAAGTCAGCCACAATGAACCAGGAGATGGGCTATATTTAATCTAAAAAAAAAATGCCACCAAGTCAAAGTTAACTCAAGACATAGTTTATCCATGAGTAGTCATCCTTCAGTACAAAAGCAGCATACATGAGAATGTAACTAAAATCCAGGCCACCAAGTCCTATTAGATACAATGTCCTTTTTGCCCTCAACATCACATATTTGTGAAGCCAAATGCAGACCCCTACCCACATCTACACTGCAGAGACAGATTGACTTCCTCACATCTGCATCTCTGAGAGTTCCTGCTTAGTAATAAAGCAGTTATTCCAGAGAAAGTAGAGAGAGGTTGGGTACCAAGATGAGAAGGATGAGATCCTCATGTCTAGGTGTTTTTTAAAAAGCACATTAATTTTTGGGTGCTATACTGACACTTCAGCAGATGAAGAATGGAGAATTAACATGGTATTCTCTCCTTTCATCTTGCTAATAAGCAGGAATCTGGGACTTTAGGACAAATGGAATGATGGTGAAGTCCAGTAGCAGAGGCCACGAAGATCAGTCCCCATGATGACCTGGCCCCTGCTGTAGTCCCCAGCTTGTTGAACATGCCAGAGGTACTGTGTAAAGATGTAGATTTCTTTCCATCATACATATGTATTAAACCTGTGCAAGGATTGCAGAAGGGGCAAATGACCAAATATCCTAGGATCAACTATTCAACGTATTGAGCCATTTTATGGAACCTCATGATAAAGTAACATGCAATAGCTAAATTATCTATAATGAGCATTGAGTAATGCTTACTATGGCAGGAATTGTTAGTTGCCTAACTTGTAGATAGTCATTATTCTTATTTATTTATTTATTTATTTATTTATTTATAGAGGATAAAGGAGGGAGAAAGAGAAGAAAGTAAACATCAATGTGCAAGAGATGATCAGCCCTTCTGGCCAAGATGGAGGCGTATGTGGAAACACTATGCCTCCTCACACAACCAAGTTTAAAGACAAGAAAGTTTTAGTAAAAAAAAAAAAAAACACAAAACGCAACTAAAACACAGAAAATTGAACTATATAGAAGTCTGACAACAACGAACTGTTCAGCCAGACTGCTAAGGGGCAGAGCCAGCTACTGGCAGAGTGGGGTTGCACAGGAAAACTTGGCCAGACTGACCCAGGCACCCAGGCAGCGGTTGGCAGATCCCAGGTGTGGGGTTGCAACAGGCAGACCCAGTAAGGGTGCAAGGTGGCAGGCTGACCAAGGTCACACATTTGCATGCAGATAAACCAGGCAAAGGAGCGAGCAGTGAGATGTACCTCAAAGGCCCCTGAAGCAGCAGAGGAGACCACTATTGCCCCTCTTTGACCCTGCCCCCACATACAGCATCACAACCCAACAATCTGGGTGGTCCCACCCTGGTGAACACCTAGGGCTCCGCCACTCATATGTAACAGGTGCGAACAGACCAAATCATTATGGCTCAAGAACTCAAAGCTCCAGAGCCAATAACTCTAAGCGACCAAGAAATAGCCAACCTACCAGATGCACAGTTCAAAACACTGGTGATCAGGATGCTCACAGAACTGGTTGATTTTAGTCACAAATTAGAGGAACAAATGAAGGCTAAACTAATTGAAATGAAGGGAAATGCACAGGAAACCAATAGTGATGGGAAGGAAACTGGGACTAAAATCAATAGAGTGGACCAGAAGGAAGAAAAAAATGACCAAACAGAAAAGGATGAAGAAACAAGAATTCAAAAAAATGAAGAGAGGCTTAGGAACCTTCAGGACATCTTTAAACATCTCAACATCCGAATTATAGGAGTACCAAAAGAGGAAGAGGAAGAGCAACAAGTGGAAAACTTATTTGAACAAATAATAAAGAACTTCCCCAGTCTGGCAAAGGAAATAGACTTCCAGGAAATCCATGAAGCTCAGAGAGTCCCAAAGAAGTTGGACCCAAGAAGGAACACACCAAGGCACATCATAATTACATTACCCAAGATTAAAATGGAGAGAATCCTAGAAGCAGCAAGAGATAAGGGGACAGTCACCTACAAAGGAGTTCCCATCAGACTGTCGGCAGATTTCTCAAAAGAGACCTTACAGGCAAGAAGGGGCTGGAAAGAAGTGTTCCAAGTCATGAAATCCAAAGACCTACATCCAAGATTGCTCTATCCAGCAAAGCTTTCATTTAGAATGAAAGGACAGAGAAAGTGCTTCTCAGATAAGATGAAATTCAAGGAGTTCATCATCACCAAGCCCTTATTATATGAAATATTAAAGGGACTTATCTAAGAAAAAGAAGATAAAAAAGGTGAACAGTGAAAGGACAGCAAACTCACACTTATTAACAACCACACCTAAAACAAAAGCAAACTAAGAGGACAGCTAGATCAGGAGCAGAACCATGGAAATGAAGATCACATGGAGGGTTAGCAATAGGGGAGTGGGAGAAGGGGAAGGGGGAGAAGGTACAGAGAATAAGTAGCATAGATGGTAGGTAGAAAATAGGGGGGAGGGCAAGAATAGTATGGGAAATATGGAATCTGAAGAACTTGAGACATGTGGTCATAAACTAAAGGGGGAATGGTGGGGGTGGGGGTGCAGGGTGGAGGGGAATGGAGGGGGGGAATGGAACAACTGTAATGGTAAAATCAATATATTTTTTTAAAAAAAGAAGAGAAAGAAGAGATGATCAGTTGCCTCTCGCACATCCTCAAGTGGTGACCTGGCTTGCAATCCAGGCATGTGGATGGCTGGGAATTGAAGTGACCATCTATTGGTTTGCAAGCTGGCACTCAATCCACTGAGCCACATCAGGGCTCTTCTCTTTAATAAGAGGAAATCTGAGTCAGTTCTGAGCAGCAGAGTGCCTTATTTCTCAGCCTCTCTTGCAGTGAGGTATCAGGCCAATGAAATGCTGCTATATGAACTATCAGGCCAATGACATTTTGATATATTTGGAACTTGTTGGAGAGGTTTCTGGAAAGGTACCTTAAGAGAAGGACAGCTTAAGAAACTCCCTTTTGCTCTTGTTCTTTGTTTCTTTCCACCTGGAATGTGGATTTTAATGGCTGTACATGTAAATGGGAATTACTACATTTGGGTGGTACAGGTATCCCCCACTATCCATTGAGCTCTGGGACATGCAGCATTTATGTAGTTGGTTCTCAAATAAGCAGCTTTGGTATTACTTGGGAACTTCTTAGAAATGCAAATTCTGAACTTCTGGCCAAGATGGAGGCATAGGTAGACACACTTTGCCTCTCTGAACAACCAAAAGAAGGACAACAACAAATTTAAAAACAAAAAAATAACCAGAATTTCCAGAAAATCTAACTGTATGGAAGTCTGACAACCAAGGAGTTAAAGAAACATTAATCCAGACCAGTAGGAGGGGTGGAGATAGGCAGCCAGGGCAGAGAGGACGTGTGGCAAGGTGGTGGCTGGTAGGCTAGGTGGTCCTACATTTGAGGATAAACCAGGAGAAATAACTGGGGAGCAAGACAGACTGCACAACCCAGGGTCCCAGCTCAGGGAAATAAAACCTCAAACCACTGATTGAAAACACCTGTGGGGGAGAAACTCCCAGCCTCACAGGAGAGTTCTTTGGAGTTCAAGAATGTACACAAACCACCCACCCAGGAATCAGTACCGGAAGGGCCCAATTTGCTTGTGAGTAGCAGGAGAAGAGACTGGAAGCTGGCCAAGAGCCAAGCAAGTGGCATTGTTCCCTCTCAGAACCCTCCCTCACATACAGCACCATAATGCAGCAGCATGGTTTGTCCCACCTGACGAATACCAAAGGCTACACCCCTTACAATGCAAAAGGTACACTGAGACCAAAAAATGTGGCCCAAATGCAAGAACAGATCAAAGCTCCAAAAACAGAACTAAGTGATGAAGAGATAGCCAACCTATCAGATGCACAGTTCAAAACACTGGTAATCAGGATGCTTACAGAAATGGTTGGGTATGGACACAAAATAGAGAAAAAAGTGAAGGTTATGAAAAGTGAAATAAAGGACAATGTACAGGGAACCAACAGTGATGGGAAGAAACCAGGACTCAAATCAATGATTTGGAACAGAAGGAAGAAATAACATTCAACTGGAACAGAATGAGAAACAAGAATTCAAAAAAAAATGAAGAGAGGCTTAGGAACCTCCAGGACAACTTAAATGTTCCAACATCCAAATCATAGGGATGCTAGAAAAATAAGAGGAAGAACAAGAAATTGAAAACTTATTTGAAAACATAATGAAGGAGAATGTCCCCAATCTGGCAAAAGAAATAAGAGTTCCAGGAAGTCCTAGAAGTTCAGAGAGTCCCAAAGAAGTTAGCCACAAGGAAGCACAAGCTAAGGAACATCATAATTACATTACCCAAGATTAAAGATAAGGAGAGAATCTTAAAAGCAGAAAGAGAAAAGGAAACAGCTACCTACAAAGGAGTTCCCATAAGACTAACAGCTGTTTCTCAAAAGAAACCTTGCAGGCAAGGGGCTGGAAATAAGTCTTCCAAGTCATGAAAGACAAGGACCTAAATCTAAGATTATTCTATCTAGCAAAGCTATCATTTAAAATGGAAGGACAGATAAAGTACTTCCCAGATAAAGTCAAGTTAAAAGAGTTCATCATCACCAAGCTCTTCTTATATGACACATTAAAGGGACTTATCTAAGAAAAAGAAGATGATAAAAAATATGGACAGTAGCCCTAGCTAGTGTAGCTTAGTGGAATGACCATGGGCCTGGGAACCAAAGGATAACAGTTCGATTCCCAGTCAGGGCACATGCCTGGGTTGCAGGCCGGTTCTCAGCAGGGTATGCACAAGAGGCAACCATACATTGATATTTCTCTCCCTCTCTCTTTCCCTACCCTCTGAAGATAAATAAATAAAATATTTAAAAAATATGAACAGTAAAATGACAGCAAACAATTATCAACAACTGAACCTAAAAAAACGAAAGAAAAACAAAAACAAACTAAGCAAACAACTAGAACAGGAATAGAATCACAGAAATGGAGTTTACATGGAGGGTTATCAGTGTGTGTGTGAGGGGCGAATGAGGGAAAAGGTACAGGGAATAAGTAGCATAAATGGTAGGTACAAAACAGAGGGGTGATTAAGAATAGTATAGGAAATGGAAAAGCCAAAGATCTTTTATGTACAACCCATAGACATGAACTGAGGGGGGTAGAATGGTGGGAGGGGGGTGCAGGGCTGAGGGGAGTAAAGAGCAGGAAAAAATAGGACAACAATAATAGCATAATGAATAAAACATATTTAAAAAAGAAATGCAAATTCTCAGGCTGCACCCCAGACATCTTGATAAGGGTGTTTTCAGTATAGTGTACAGCAAGGCTTCCAGGTAATTGTGATCATGCAACAAACAGTTGGAGAAGCACTGGTGTAAAGGTTGGGAAGAGGAGGAACTACTTAAGGAGACTGAGGAATGGCCAGTCAAGGAAGATAACCAGAATGTTTCCAGGAGGAAATAAACAATTTTATCAACTACTGTTAGTAAAGTGAGAGGACTGAGAACTGACCATAGATTTGGCTAAAAAAAGGGGGGGGGATTTCTCTGATGGGGATGGTTAACCAAAGTTAGAAGGGTATTTCCTCATGTTCCAGACATGTCAGCTGGTGGGCACTTTCATACACACCATTTTTTAAAAGTAAACTGCCCATTCTTTCTGACTGAAGGGTGGGGGACTCCCTCCAGCAGCTCTTTGAGTTGGCAGGGCTATACATACCACACGCGCCCTCTCCTCCAGGCCTAGCCATTAGACCAAAAGCAGCCAAACTAGAAACCAGGTAGGAAGTAACTGTGGCTACCTGTGTAGCAGAAACCCACTATAATAGGGGCTTACGCAAAATACCAGTTTACATTTCTCTCACGTTAAATAAAGCCCAAGCTCTGCTCCAGGAAACTGCCAGGGGCTCACTTCCTTCTGTCTTGCCGCTTCACAATTCCTAGGGTGTTAACTTTGTCCACATGCTCAAAATGACTTGTCCCTGTTCCAGCCAGCATGTAGGCACTTTCCTGTTCATTTTAAGAATCACTTTCCTTTCCTTCCCCCCCCCCCCCCGCAAGAGGCAGGGCTGGTGAGAAATGTAACCTTTAAATCTGGAAAGCCTGAGACTTAGCTAAAAGTGGGGACTTTAAAAATAGAGAAAGAACAAACCAACATTGTGGCTTGCACCGAAAAACGGTCAGTCTGGCTGACTTGATTTTCTTTCTCGGATTTGAAATGGATGGAAAATCGGTTAGAGACACAGAGCCTGGCACCCACTGCCGGCCCGCAGCTCCTTGAGCTCGAGGGGAGTCTGGAGGACTTTTCAGATTCCGGTCTCCCCGAAGCCGGCGGGACTATTGGGACCCGGCTTTTTCTGGGTTGAGGTAACTTCCGGGGCTGAGATCTTACTTTTCCTTATTCCGAGGTGCAGCCTGGAATAAACATCCTAGGGAGGCGCAGTTGAGGGGACGCGGTACAGGCGCCTCCCCTCGAGGCCGAGGAGGGAATCCTGCGCGTTGGGGACCACCCTCCACGAGGTCCAGTTGCAGGGAGTGAAGGTTCCCTGCGAGGCGCAGTTTGGCGCGGCCGAGGGCATCTTTAGGGGCCAGAGCCCAGAGATACCCTCGAAAAAGAGGTGACCCTCCGAGTACCCACAGGACGCTTTCTGAAGGACCGGGCGCAGCCGGAGGTGTAGTTTCACCGCGTGAGGGGACCGGAGACTCTAACCGCGGAAGGTTGCCCGACTGGAGAGCCGCGACTGCCGTTGGGAGCCGGCCTCCGGTGACGCGCCTCGCGGCGCGGAAGGTTCTGGGAGTAGTAGTTCGACCTTGTTTTCGGCCGGTGTGTCTTAGATCCCGGGGCTCCTAGACTCCTCTGTTGCCGCCGGCCCAGCTTCCTCCGTGTCTCGCGTGAGGTCCAGCCTGGGGTCGAGGAGGGTCTGGATTGCGGGCCCTTCTAACCCTGAGTGTGGAGGGAAGGTGGCAGGGAGGTCCCCCGGGTGGTTGCCGGGAGATCCAGCGGGGGTCCCGCGCATCCCCGGGCCTCTGGGTGGACAGAACAGTGGACCCCTGGTCCCACCACGGGCTCTCCTGCCCGTCCACGGGAGGGAGTCGCCATTGAAACCGGGGGCAGAGGTGAGAATTTCGGAGCAAAGCGGCGCGAAGCCTGCGAGAGAGATGAAAGGAAAAAGGCAGCCCTCTGGCCGGGGCCGGCTGGGGCACGGGAAGCCTGTCTTCTCTGGGAGAGTCCTTTCCTGGGGAGCCGCTACCTGCACTGCTTGCTGGCCCGCAGGACGATGCATGCCTCCGTTGCCCCCCCCCCCCCCCAAATCAACAGAGCTGACAACTTGAGTTTGGGGAATGACTTCCTCTTGTCCTCACAGGAACCCCAAAAGGGGGTAAGAAGGAGACTATTAGACCCATTGGGCAGATGGGAAAAGTGAGAATTTGAGAAGCCACGGGATTTGTTTAGAATCCTGGATGTTTCCCTGTAAGACCCATCGCTTTTCTGCCAAAGCCAGTATTGTATACGAAAAACCAGTGTTCGAAAAGAATTCAGTCTTTCTTCATCCAGTGAGCCTGAAATGGAACAGGAATGAATCATTAAGTGAAGCACGGATTGACACAGATTCTTTTATTATTATTTTGACCACCACTCAGCAGATGACAGATAGAAGAAATATGTATTTAATGTATGTGTTCAGATTCTCCTAGCAGAGTTCTATTGGAGTTTAAGGACAGAGGAGGATAGGAGTAACCTGAGACAGCTGTGGTCATGGCCACCTTGATTCCAGGATGTTGTGAGATTGTCCCTTGGTTCTCTGAGTTGATTCTTAGGTGACAAGTAGCTGTGTTTGGCAGTTTATACAAGTTCACTGCAAGGCAAGAGTAATCGTTATGGTTCCTGTCTCCACTTCTAGGGCCATTTTCTGAGGACTCAGACCTTCCCCATGCTGGAGATTCAGAAGAAAATGGTGCAACCACTATGCTGCTAACCACTGCCCTGCTGACCCCTGTATCCCAGGTGGGTCTAGATTACTTCTTTTTCTTCCTTCTGTTCTCAGAGCATGGATGTGGTTTCTTCCATTGTTGAGGAATTGCTCAGCCCTGAATCCTAGACCACTGTGTTCACCCTGATAAACTGATGAGTGATGAACTTCATAATAAATGTCCGTCACTTGTGTAGAACTTTCCCTCCTGACATTACTTATTCCCTACCCACTTAGTGTTTGATGTGTTTGATGCACACTTATTAGCTCTGCTGTAGTCTAATTGGCCTCATGGTGAGAGGCAAATAAAAGTCAGTTGCTCCTGTCTCATGAGGAGGTTAGATGTAGATAAGTAAAATAGTTCAACAGCAAGAAGAAATACGTATTTTTTAAGTGCAGAAATGACTGGTACAGACAATAGGACATGGAAGAGGTTTTTTATCCTCTAGAGATTGTATTTGGGGGTGGGAGGAAACTGGGCCCTGGCTGGTGTGGCTCAGTGGATTGAGTGCCTACTTGCAAATAAAAAGATTGCTGGTTCAATTCCTGTTCAGGGCACACGCCTGGCTTGCAGGCCAGGTTCCCAGCTGGGGGTGTGAAGGAGGCAATTGATTGGTGTTTCTTTCATACATAGAAGTTTCTCTCTTTCTCCCCCCCTTCCCCTCTCTCTTAAAATAAATAAAAATTAAAAAAAATACTGGGATAAAAGTTGCACTTTGAAAAACAAGAGAGTAGGGAACTGGAGAATAAAATACAGAAAAATTCCGAGAGAGAACAGCTTTTGCAAAGAAAGAAAGGAAGGGGGGGAGGGAGGGAGGGAGGGAGGAAGGAAGGAAGGAAGGAAGGAAGGAAGGAAGGAAGGAAGGAAGGAAGGATCCTCCAAGGGATGGGAGACTTGGGGGTCTTCAAGTATGTGTGTCGCTGTGGAGTGAGTTTGAGTGTGGTGAGGGAAGCAGGGATATGTTGTAGCCAGAAAAACCACAGGAACATCTACTCTGGGTCTTATTCTAAAGCAAATAAGGCCCCCTTAAAGTTTTTAGAGTCTGAGCAAGATGAAACATGCCACAACTGATTAGAGAAAATTGGTCAAAATGCTCTAGGGTCTGGCCTAGGACACTGAGTGAATGGCAGACCTTTTGGTAAAGGTGCTAGAACTACTTATTAGCCTCAGCCCTGGCCTCATAGCACACAGGTGCTGATGCTTCATATAAAATGCTGGGAGAGCCCTGGCTGGTGTAGCTCAGTGGATTGAGCATGGGCCTGTGAACCAGAGGATTGTGGTTCAATTCCCAGTCAGGGCACATGCCTGGGTTGCGGAGCCAGGTCCCTGGTGGGGGGTGCATGAGAGGCAAGCACCCATTGATGTTTTCCTCCCTCTCTCCTTCCCTTCCAAAGATAAATAAATAAAAACATTTTAAATAAATATATAAATAAAATGCTGGGAGAAAATGCCAGTGCTAGCATTTTGTGAATTTGTAGACCCCCTATAGAGCAAAGCAGGGAGAGAAAGTTGTAGCATCTGCTGGACAGCGTCTGCTTAGTCTGCCCAGGTCCCTTGTTCTAGCACTTGCACCCTGAACAGTAGCTCCATAAATGAGTTTGATTACTGAGGTTTTCTCAGGGAACTGAAGTCTGAAAGGAATTGCCAGTTTGTCTATATTGTGAACATTGTAAAGAAAGACGACTAAAGTACAGTTGCCCCTTGAATAACACATTTTGAACTGCACAGGTTCATTTATATGTCAGGTTTTTTTTTTCAATAAGTACTGTAAATGTATTTTCCTTATGATTTTCTTTAGCTTACTTATTATAAGAATATGGTATGTAATATTGAGTTGGTTAAAAAGTCCATTTAGTTTTTTTCCATAAAGACATATTTTTCATTTTCACCATAACTTTATTGATTTGTATATATTGAGTATGTCAGCTATCTCCCATTATTGGCATCTAGTGGGTTGAGGCCAGGAGTACTGCTAAACATCTTCCAGTGCATAAAACAGCTCCACAGCAAAGAATTATTTGGCCAATATGTCAATAGTACCAAGAAACTTCACAAAACACTTTTGATGTTTGAGCACCTTCTCCATACACTGCACAAATCTTTTTTTTGCATTTCAGTTGTGTTTTTACCTTTTTTGAAATAATAAAGCATAATATGCTGAAAATGTTGCATGTTTCTTTCATCTTCAATTAAAATGGCTGCACAAAACTCACCAATTTTGATAAGTTTTCTTTTAATGCACATCGATGTGACAGTTGTCACAATGCACTCTAACAAAATTGTTTTGGACTTTTTGGCCAACCCAATGCATGTAACATACAAAAAATATGTTAATCAACTGTTTATGTTATTGGTAAGGCTTCTAGTCAAGGCCAGACTATTAGTAATTAAGTTTTGGGGAAGTCAAAAGTTACACATGGATTTTCAGCTATGCATGGTGGGAGGTTGGTACCTCTAAAACCCTGGTGTTGTTAAAGGGACCATAAACTAAAATAAAGAGAGTAATGATTTTATACATTCAAGTATTAAAATAATGAATTACATTATTTTGGCCACGAGATTTCAAAGTAGGTAGTTTTTTAAACTTATTATGTGAACTGTTTTACCTGTTATTCTTAAAGGGCCATATCATAAACGTTTATATACTGCATATACATAAAGTTAACCATTATATTTGTACATATGTTCAGGGGGCTGTGGCAACAGTGGTAGTTCAAAAAGGGCTTAGACTGGTTCATTTACTAGCATCCCCTATGTTAATGTGTCTCATTTAAGTTGAAGTTATATAGAAATTTGTTTACAGAATTAGAAAAATTATTAGGCATTTCTCTTATCAACAGTAAACAACTCAGCTATAGATTCAAAGGAGCATTACCCATCCTGCTCCTTCCCCCACATTTTAGTAGACAGTTAAAGTTTGTGCCTGTCATCTAGACCAAGGTTAGGCTAGAGTAAACATTCCCGCAGTGTTGTCAATGTTTGATACACTTCTGTTCCCCTCCCCACTTCTATTTCCATGCACACTTTTATAGAACACCTCATGTAAAAAGTTGTTTCTACTAATTCCTTTTTTAAAGATTTTATTTATTTATTTTTAGAGGGGAAGGGAGGGAGAAAGAGAGGGAGAGAAACATCAGTCAATTGCCTCTTGTCCAGGATGGGACCTGCAACCCAAGCATGTGCACTGACCAGTAATTGAGCCAGCGACCTTCCACTTTGTGGAACAACGCCCAACCAACTGAGCCATAGAAGACAGTGCTCTACTAATTCTTGACCAAGTGTTCCCTCCTTCCTTCAACTATCTCACAAAAATTTAGTGTTCCTGCTGTGTGCCAATTTCTTCAGTGAGGAAAAACAGACCTGACTTCTGCTTTCAGAGTCCAGACAGACCTGACTCTGTCCTATTCAAGGTAAGCTTGGAATTTTCTGATATTAATCAGAAAATCTCCTTAATGTGAGCATAATTCAAGAGAAGGGAAGGAATGTGGTGGTATAATCCAGAGGGTCAGGAAAGGTGTCCCTGTGGACGTAACTCCTGAGCTGAGTTCTGAAGTATGAGTGGGATTTAAAAAGCTGAAAGGACATGCAGGGGGAGAGTATTCAGGAACAGGGAGAAGCATGTGGAAAAAGGCCAAAGGGACTGTGGCATACATTTCAAGTCGCTGAAAGGAGGCTACCAATTGTACCACAGAGACCATAGGAGGAGTAATGTATGATGGGGACGAGGGTAGATGGTGGAGCAGGAGGGAGTCAGACCCATCCAGGGCCTCCATGAGAAATGACAAGAATACTTTGGAAACTTTTTAAATAATACTGTTTTACAAATAAATCTATTTCTGTGATGTGTGTAGCAAACACTTTAATGTTAAATATTTATTGTACTGATTTTATTCTCAAAGGAAAATTGTAGAGATAAATAGTTTATATTTCTTGAACCTCTTGTGTTTTAAAACCATACCGTAAGGAAAATACTTCATTCATAATTGTATCTTCTCTACTTTCCCATGTCTGAATACAAGGAAGGACCCCCCAAAATTTATTTATAAAAATTGTGTATTCATTCTTATGTGTTTAAAGTTCAGTCACCTTCAGAGTACTCTCCATTTGATGCAATACATGTATCAAGATGTTTTTTCCACTGCTCAAAACAGTTTTGAACTTGTTGATTTTGATGCCTTTTAGTGCTTCTGACTTTTTTTTTTGTTTTACCTCTTCCACATTGGCAAAATATTTCCATTTGAGGATTTTTTCACCTGGGGAAACAAAAATAAGTTGCTAAGGGGCAAAATCAGGTGAATAGGAAGGGTGGGGCATGGGGGTCATGCTGTTTTTGGTAAAAAACTACTGAACACTCAGCGCCGTGTAGGCAGATATGCTCATAAATCACCCATCATGAATGGGCAAATGTGATGAAAGTGTCTTAAAATTTTTTTTCACTGAAGCCAAACACGGCCTTTTACAACAGCACCAACTGGTACACTGATACAGGTGGATTCCTAGCATACTCAAGGGGCCTGTACTAGAGAGGGAATCCTGTACTACAAGGGGCCTAACCTCCAGAAGATAATTTCTTTTTTTTTTAGGGGGGCATTCCACCTCATAGTAAGGTTTTCTATAGTTCTGTAATTTAATCTATTGATATATAAATTAATAACTTAGTATTGTACCTTCAGATTTTACATCAAAGGTGCTTCCTTCCTATTTTCAGGTAACATGCAGTCCTACTGCATGGAGGCAAGGAGCTGGTCTGTGACTACAAATACAACCATCTCCCCTTGTCTGCAGTTTCACTTTCTGCTATTTCAATTACCTGCAGTCAATCATGGTCCAAAAATATTAAAGGTAGAAAATTTCAGAAATAAGTAATTCATAAGTTTTAAATTGTGTATTTTTCTGAGTAGCATGATGAAATCTTATACTGTCCAGGATGTGAATCATCTCCTTTTCCAGCAGCACCACACTGTTTTTACTACCCACACATTGGTCACTTAGGATCTATTTCTGTTATCAAATTGACTGTCAGAGTATTACAGTGCTTGTGTTCCAGTCACCCTTAATTTACTTATTAATGGCCCCAAAGCACAAGAGTAGTGATGGTGGCAATTCAGCTATACCAAAGACAAGCTATAAGTGCTTCTTTTAAGTGGAAAGATATGTATGTATGGGAAAAGACAGTATATATAGGGTTTTCTACTCTCTGCAATTTCAGGCATCTGCTGGGAATCTTGTAACATGTCCCACATGGATAAAGGGTGACTACTATTCACAAGAGAATCTTCATGTTGGAAGGCCTGTTAGAGGTCATTTTGTGTAACCTTCCTGTCCTTCCTGTCTTCCTTCTATGCTGTCAGTTTGAGTTCTTCCTAGAGGCGTCTGGAAGGAGGTCCTTTGGTGAGCACAGATGTTTGGTTTTTCAGGAGTCACTGATGACCAGGGATATGGCCGAGGCTCTCACCCAGTGGGAGCAGCTGAACCCTGCTCAGGGAGATGTGCCCAAGAAGCATAGGAACCTGGTCTTACTGGGTAAGGATGACTCCTTGTCACCCCGTGAATTTACTCAGTGTGGTAATTTGCTTCCTCAGTGCCTAGGAACTCTGAGGTTCTTAGATTCAAATAGTCTTAATTCCTGAAAGGCCTGAGGTAGGTAATTTTTGCTTTGTGTTTCTGGATGTAGTTTTGTACTCCTGGAGTTAGAAATGGACTCCTTTTTATTATATTTGCTCAGGTAGTAGCAGACTTCTTTTCTATTCCCTGACCAAGGATATTGAGATGAAGTTCTAGTGAAAACACCTCTTAAGAAATAGGTGCTTATTCTTTTAATTGGGAGAGGTAAAACAAGTGACCCAATTGTTCTGAATACAAATAGACCTTGTATCATCCTTTCTGCCTTTTTCCTGAGTACTGGTGAGAGAGAAATCTAGAACCTACCTCTCTTTTATACTGTCTCTCCTAATGACCAAAGAGCTAACCTTGGGCTTTTTACCAGACTCTTTTTTCTTTCCCTATGAACAGGACTTCCAATTTCCAAGCCTGATGTAGTCTCTCAGTTGGGGTGTGGGGAGAAGCTGGATAAAGAAGCCGCAAAAGCCACTAGTCCAGGTGAGTCAGTGTTGTAAACAGGGAACTTAAAATCCAGATGGTCAGTGGGAAAAGCATCTTTGAAATGCTTGTGCAGCAGCCTTTCCAGATTTTGCTAGATCCATGGAGAAGCTGAAGTCCCTTTCTTCCATGCCACACTTACCCTCTGCGGATGATGATCTGTTATAAATTCATAATTTTACTTTTTATAAGGTAAATACTTTCCACTCCTTCAAATGAATTCTTTTCCCCCATAAGGTAAAATGAAATCAGCATTTTAAGGTATGTTAATAATGTTCATGGGTACAAGACTATAAACCAGGCTTTTTTATGTATGTTATTTCATCTCTGTAGGATAATGTACCTTTTTGTGTGACAGCAATGACTATAAATTGATCTCTGAGTTTTCCCTTGCCTTCTTCTCTATCTAAGCGGAGGCAGCATAGCATATGTTAGGAGTGTAACTTTAGACCCAGTCTTCCTAGGTCCAAATCCAATTTCAGCTACTCACTAGCTCTGTGACTTTTAATAAGTGAATTATCCTCTCTGTGACTAAAATTCTCCAACTGTAAATGAGGATAATGATAGCACTTAACTCAGGGTTGTTGTGAGGATCAAATGAAAAAAATCCAAGAGAAATACTTAGAGCAGTAACTGGCTATATGATAAGCAAATGATACCTGTTGATTAAATCCTGGTAACTTTTTGAAAAATGTGAATTTAACCCTGTTGCTTCTGTCAGGCTGAATTATTGCAGTAGACTCTCAACTGATTATACTCTCTTTAGTCTAATCTTGTCTAATTGAGGCAGTGGGATCTTGCTGAATTCCCCACAGTGAATTTCTCATTCTGCCAGTTCTGTATTTCTCTACCTTCTTTCAAGGGCTTTGATAGTCTACCTGCCTAACCATTTTACCTTCTCTATTCTCCAACATGAACTCTTAACACCAGACAGGCAAGTGTCTCACTCTCCTCACTAACTGTGTGTTCTCCATGCACACTTGGGGCTTTAGTTTTTCAGGGCTTTAGTTTTTCAAACTCCTTTTAGCTGGAAGTCCATTAACATTTAACCTATTTTTACCTATTTGTCCTTTAAAATCCTGGGCACTTCCCTAATTAGGATGTATAGTTAAGAACATTGGATCATATTGATTATTTTATGTACCATCATGGTTGGGATGAATATTAAAGACTATTTAAGCCAAGACATATTTAAACATTTTTAGCAGTGAAGTTTTCCCCCCAAACTCTTGCTGGGAAGACTAGAATTGGGGGGAAGATATTCCCACAGGTTGGGGACCAATGTAAGTACATGGGGATTTGACCTTCCCCTTTCTAATGCTATTTATTGCTTTTTAAAAGTTGGTTTTGTCTTGCTCTTTGCAGTTTATTGGATGTGAGACAATCAGTTGCTTCTTATTTAGTAAGCTGTGTGATTATTTGAATTCATTGATCTTGATCACTTTGAATGCTAGTTTCTAGAATATTCAACTCATCTCGAGACAGTGGAACCGATAGAGACTTTTGTGTAAGAGGGATAATTTGGGAAAGTTAGTCTGTTAATGTTGAGTGGGACATTTTGGGAAATGGGAAAAGACTGGTGGAAGGAGATCAGCTCATGATGATCATTCTTGAGGTACAAAGTCTTAAGGGTTCAAGTCGAAGAACAGAGAAGTTAAAATGGTTAGGCAGGTAGACTGTCAAATGCCTTAAAAGAAGATAGAGAAATACAGAACTAGCAGAGTCAGAAACTCACTGTAGGAATTCTGCAGGATTCTGCTACCTCAATTACACAAGATTAGACTAAAGAAAGTATAGTCATTTGAGAACAGGGTCAAATCTACATCTTTCCAAGTGTAGTGGCAGCCAGTGAGTAGTCTCTGGGAAACCATCTTCCTCTGATCCCATCCCTCTTTCCCCAGACTCTGTTTTTTATCACCTGTACTTAGCCTTATTTCGTTATTGTTTCTCATTTCCTACCCACTAGATAGAGGAATTGTGAGTGCCTGCTCACCCCTTCCCTGTTCGCAGCTACACTTCTTTGCCCAGTCATCTTTCTTTCCTTGCATTCTCTCAAGATGACAAGGCTATTTTTGAGAGCTTTCAAGTACATGTGTTCCTTGTAGCATTTTTGTTTGTTTTATTATTTTCTTACCATAGTAATTACTTTACTGTCAGTGTAGGAAATGATACATAAACATTTTTGTTTCTGTTAGACTGGGAGACACCAGAAAGCAAGGAGCTAACTCCAGAGCAGGATGTTTCTGAAGAGGAGTCAAACCCTAGTGTGTTAATAGAAAGATTTCCAAAGGAAGATGACAGTGGATGTGAGGATTCTTTAGAGAGTCAGCAGGAAAACCATGAGAAACACTTAATACAAGAAGTTGTCACTCAGAAGAAATCTTCAGGGGAGAGTCGTTACCAATGTGATGAATTTGGAAGAAATTTTGGCCGGAGGTCATTACTTGTTCAACAGCAAGGAAAGAGACTACGTAATTGTGATTCATTTAAAAAGAACCTAAAGCAAAATTCAGATCTAATGAGGCATGAGAGAATTTGTGCAGGAAAGAAACCCTGGAAGTGTAATGAATGTGAGAAAGCCTTTAGTTACTATTCAGCTTTTGCCTTGCATCAGAGAATTCACACAGGAGAAAAGCCCTATGAGTGTAATGAGTGTGGTAAAGCCTTTAGCCAGAGCATACACCTTACTCTCCACCAGAGAATTCATACTGGAGAGAAGCCCTACAAATGTCACGAATGTGGAAAAGCCTTTAGTCACCGCTCAGCCCTTATTCGGCATCACATAATTCACACTGGAGAGAAACCCTATGAGTGCAATGAATGTGGGAAGGCCTTTAATCAGAGCTCATACCTCACTCAACATCAGCGAATTCACACTGGAGAGAAACCTTATGAGTGCAATGAATGTGGGAAGGCCTTCAGCCAAAGTACATTTCTTACTCAGCATCAGGTCATTCACACTGGAGAGAAACCCTATAAGTGTAATGAATGTGGGAAAGCTTTTAGTGATCGTTCAGGCCTCATCCAGCATCAGAGAACTCATACTGGGGAGAGACCTTATGAGTGTAATGAATGTGGGAAAGCCTTCGGCTACTGTTCAGCCCTGACTCAACATCAGAGAACTCACACAGGAGAGAAACCCTATAAATGCAACGATTGTGCCAAAGCCTTCAGTGACCGCTCAGCCCTCATCCGTCATCAGAGGACACACACTGGAGAAAAACCTTACAAGTGTAATGATTGTGGCAAAGCCTTCAGCCAGAGCTCATCTCTCACAAAGCACCAGAAAACTCATACCGGAGAAAAACCTTATAAGTGTAAGGAATGTGGAAAATCCTTTAGCCAGAGTTCATCCCTTTCTCAACATCAGAAAACTCATGCTGGAGGGAAAACCAAGGAATATGGAAAAGGCTTTACTGAGCATTGAGCCTTTGGTCAGCAAAAGAGAATTCATACTAGATAAAAACTATATGAATTTTTTTCCTGGTTGTGAGTAATCATCTCAGTAGTTATCTCAATCAAAATTGTAATCATCTAAGTAATTATCTCAATCAACAATTCTTGAGGGGAAATTTGTTGATTGAGATAACTACTCAAATGATTACTTGTACCCAGGAAAAAATGAGACACATGAGTCAGTCAGTTAAAAAATTTTTATGAGGCAGTTCCCCTGAAGCCAGAGGATGCTGGCCTGGCTGTTCACTTCTGCACTTTTTGTGTCTTTTAGACTTCCTTATTGAGACATCTACTGAGAATCACATTAACTCCCAGAGTCAAACCTGTATCTTAGAAAAAGGGAGTACAGAGGGACCTTTGATGTTTTCAGCCTGTTTTAAGTTATCTTTGTTACCTGATAGTATGCTTATTTATGAAGATTTACCCTAATTATATATTGCTTATACTTTAGACTTTTTCATACTATAGTAAAATTTAGTTGTAGGCCTAAACTGACACTGCATACTAGCTTGTGAAAATTTGAGGTTTTTGAAATACTTGCCTTTCCCATTTTACTCTTGGGTAGAGGCAGGTGACATGATATATATATATTTTAATTGAAACCTTGAAGGTTATTATTGGAAACATTTTGAGTGCTGTGTTTTTAGTTCCCACATTTGACCTTAGATGTGTCTCTGTGTGGATTTCTTTAAGTTTATTCTGTTTGCTGAGCTTGGATATGTAGGTTTATGTCTTTTTCATAATTGGGGATATTTTCAGACATAGCTTTTAAAAAAATTTTTTGGATTGATTTTTAGAGAGAAAGGGAAAGACAGAGGGAGAAACATCAATTTGTTGTTCCACTTATTCATGTATTCATTGGTTGATTCTTGTATGTGCCCTGACTGGAGACTGAGCCCATAACTTAGTATATTGGGAAGACACTAACCAACTGAGCTACTCAGCCAGGGTGAGTCATCATTTCTTCGAATACATTTTCAGCCCTGACTCCTGCCCCTTGTCTCCTTCCAGGATGCTGATACAGATGTTAGGTCTTTGCATGCAATCCCACAGGTTCCTGAGGCTCTGTTCATTGTTTTCCAGTATATATTTACCTTAATCTGCTCAGGCTGCCATAACAAAATGCTACAGCCTGGGTGGTTCAAACAACAGAATTTTATTTCTCACAGTTATGGAGCCTGGAAGTCCAAGATCCAGGTGTCAGCTTTAGTCTTTGGTGATGGATCTCTTCTTGGCTTTCTTGCTGATTGTGTCCTCACATGGCCTTTTCTTGATGCATGCCTGTGGAAAGAGAGAGAGAGAGAGAGAGAGAGAGAGAGAGAGAGAGAGAGAGAGATCTTTATTCCTCTTTAAAAGCTACCAGCACTGTCAGATTAGGAACCTAACCTTATGACCTCATTTTACCTTAATTGCCTCCAAAAAGCCCTTCCTCTAAATACAGTCACATTTGGAAGTAGCATTTTGACATATGAATTTTGGGGGGAAACAATTCAGTCCATGGCATTTTCCCCTGGCCCTCAAAGTTCATGTTCTTCTCACATGCAAAATATGTTCATTTCATCCTAATAACCCTCAAAATCTTAACTTATTCCAGCATCAACTCTAAAGTCCAAAGTCTTACATACATCAGATATGGGTGAGACTTGAGGTATAATTCATCCTGAAGCAGATTCCTCTTTGGCTATGAACCTGTGAAACCAGACAAGTTATGTGCTTCCAAACACAGTGATAGGGTAGGCACTGAACAGATGTTCCCATTCCCAAAGGAGGACTAGGAATAAGGGAAAGGGTAATGGGTCCCAAGCAAGTCCAAAACCCAATGAGATAAATTCCATCGGATCTTTTTGCTTTTGTTTTTGTTTTTTAAGGTTTGACTTATTTTCAGAGAGAGAGGAAGTGAGGGAGAAAGAAAAGTAGACAAACAACTGGTTGCTTCTTGCACCCCCGAGCTGGGCACCTGACTAGAGACCCAGACATGTGCCCTGGCTGGGAATTGAATGGCGTTTAATCCACTTAGCCACACCAGCCAGGGTGAATTCCATCAGATCTTGATGCCTTACCTCCCAGACCCACTGCAGCAGGAGTCCCACCTTTACAACTCACTGCTGCAGCAGTCCCAACACCAAGGCTCAGCTGGGTAGCCCTGTCCCCCAAACTTTAGTTTGAGGCCATGTGGCCTGTTGACACTTCAGGGGCATCTCCCCTGCCTTTGAAACTGAGGAGGCAACCTGATGACCTCTGAATTTATTTCTTCTCTTTTCTTGCAGAATAGGGTATGTTTATTGTTCTGTTGTCTGGTCCTATAGGATCTAAGAAGTCTGACAGCCTCCCTTCATTTTGTCTAGTGTTTTCTGTCCCCTTTAGTACCAGTTGGCAATGTTTCATCTCAATTTCTGACTTCTGTTGAGGTGATTGATTAAATCCATGAGTCACACTCATTATCTCTTTATTAAAAGCTAGTCAGCAACGGCCGAACAAGCTTTCTCATATTTTGCAATATAGGTAGACAGGATTTTTCAAATCTCGAAGTTCTTTTTTCTTTTTGCTTAACAATTCTTTCTTCAATTCATCTCTCTCTCTCTTCTCACATTTTACTACAAACAGTGAGGAGGACCAAAGCTTCACCTTCAGTGCTTTGCCTGGAAATCTCTGGTGAATATCCAGTTTCATTACTCACAAGTTGTCCTTTCCACAAGACAGTGGAACACAGTTCAGCCAAGTCCACTGGCACTTTACAACAAAGATCGCCTTTCTTCCTGTTTCCAGTAACATGTCCTCATTTCTGACTGAGACCTCATCAGAACGACCTTTAACATCTGCACTTCTAGCATGTACCTCAAAACCCTTCCAGCCTCTACCCATTACCCAGTTCCAAAGCTATGTCCACATGTTTAGGTATTTGTTATAGCAGCACCCCAAATCTGTCTTAGCAGTACCAAAATCTGTCTTAGCTGGCTTGGACTGCCATACCACAGACTGGGAGACTCAAAGAACAGAAACCTATTTCTTACAGTTCTGGGGGACTGAAAGTCAGATCAAGGTACCAGCTGATTTGGTTTTGGTGAGAGTTCCTCCTGGCTTACAAAAAGCTACCCTATTGCTGTGTCCTCACAACCCTTCCTCAGTACATGCATGTGTGTAAGGGGAGAGGGAGAGTGAGCTCTCTTTTCTTAGAAGATATCAACCCTGTCAGATTAGGACCCCACAGTTATAACCTCTTTTAACCTTAATTACCATCTAAAAGCCCCATCTCTAAATACAGTCACATCGTGGGTTAGGGCTTCAACATGAATTTGAGGGGACACAGTTTTCCATAGGTATTTTATATTGTTCTATCTCCAAGTTCATTGCTTCCCCCCCTCTGTTTCTTCCATTCTGTTAGCAAGCTTATCATTGGGTTCTGTTACTGTGTTTTTTAGTTCCATCTGATTCTCCATTCTGTTTCTTGGCGGAGACAGTCTGTTTTTAAATTTGTGTCAAGCATGTTTGTTATTGCTTAGTGAGGCATCTTTATGATGGCTGTTTTAAACTAGTATCATTCTAACATCTAGGTCATCCCAGTGTTGGCATCTGTGGACTGTCTTATCATTCAAGTTGAGATATTCCTGGTTCTTGGTGTGATGAGTGATTTTCAGTTGAAATCTGGACATTTTGGGTATTATGTTAGGAGATTCTCTTTACTATTTAAATATTCTATCTGGGCTGGCCTCTGACAATGCTCTAATGGAGGAATGTTGTAAGTTGGTGTTAGAAGTCTAGGTTCATCATTAGCCTCTATTTGGGTAGGGGTCCTCAATACTGCTGGGCAGGAGTGGGAGTTACAGCTCCCCATGAGGGCCACACTGATACCATCCAGCTGGGAGGGACAGGAGTGTCTCATTATTTCTCCCCACATGGCCTCCACTGACATGGGGTAGGGTTGGGTGGGGAGTGACCTTATGACTATTGGTCATTGGTGAAAGTCCTGACCCTCCAGTATGCCTCCACTGTCCAAACCAGTAAAGAAGGGAGAGACCAGTAAATCTGGTCTCTCGGTAATGTTAGAAGCCTGGTCTCCCAACAGGGTCTCCATTGGCACTGCTGGGGTAGAATGGGAGAGAGGTGGTTTTTGAAAATCTTGTCTCTTCACTTGAACTTCTCTGACTGAACTCCAGGTGGGGTTTCATCTCGGTGAGGGTGGACTCAGCCTTTGTTTTTACGGATAGTGCTGAAGTTTTCTGTCATGGCCTTTGGCTGGAGGAGAGTGGTTATTGTCTAAAAAATTTCTGTCTTGAGAGGTTGCTCCTTTGCTAGTCCTTTGACTCAAAAGAGCAGACTTTTCTTAGACCTTTTTTTTGGTCTATGCCTGTGGCATTTCTGGGTTACCAGCTTCCTCAGTACCCAGCCTGGGATAGGTGAGGCAAAAAGAAAGCCCAAGGGACTCAGTGGTATATTGTTCTTTAGGTTCCCTGAATCTTCTCCACCTTCCAGAATCTTCTTACATTGTTTTAAATGTTGTGCCCAGTGTTTTAGTTATACTTAGAGGAATAGGGAAGAGTGTTTCTCCACCTTTCCCATGACATCCTTCCTTTTGACCCTGAAGTGACATGTGACCTTTGTCAGACATTGTAACATACCTAGGTTGTTTGTGACCAGTCAGGATTAACTACCAAAAGGGAGTGCTCACTGGTTCCCCAGAGAAGCTGCCAGGTTGGTAGGTAGAAACTACCAGTCTGCAAGCTTCATCCAGCTTTGAAGAAACTATAGCTTTTAAGTGGAGGAAATGTCAGTCTTCAATTGTAGATTACAATTTGAGAAGGAAAGGTAGATATGACTAAATATAAACTGTGGAGTTAAACATTTCTGTTTGCTTCTTTGTTCCAAGACCATGTGGGAAACACTAGAGAACTGGATTCAGATTTTGTTTTTTTGAATCATATATTACCTATAGTTAGATATCTGTCATTTTTAAGTTAATGTATAACACAGGATATCAGAAAACCAACAAAATAAAGAACAGAAATAATTGGAATTTGGGACAACTCACTTCACCCCTTTAAATCTGTTTCTTCATTTATATATTTTTAAAAATGTGATACCTTCTTGAGAGTGGCTAGATTAGGTAGATCATAGGTCCAAAATGATTTGTAAGCTATCAGGTGCTATATAACCATTATGTATTGTTTACAGAGTCCTTTATATGACCTGTCCACCATGTATGCTTTCCGATGGTATAGCCCAATAAAAATGACTACAGAAATAGTGGAATGTGTCTTTTTATCTTTTTAAAAATAATTTTTCTTAAACACTAGTTATATTCTGCATCTTTTGAGATGATCCTAACAGGTTTTTAAAAACCTGTTTATGTAGTAAATTATGTTCATGAATTTTCTAGTTATTTTTAAATCAAATTTTGGATGACATTAGTTAATAAGATCATGCAGGTTTCAAGTTTACATTTCTGTGATATGTGTTCTGTATATTGCATTGTATGCCCACCACCCACAGTCAAAACATTTTCTGTCATCATATATTTGGCCCTCTTTACCCTTTACTAGCCACCTCCATACACTCTTCATGGATTTTCTAATGTTAAAGAATACTTGTATTTCTAGGATTTACCTGATTTAGTGGTTTTCTCATCCTGGAATAGTTTGTGTTCCCTGAATGTTTAGAATTTATCTGGTAAGCTGAGGTTAATTGTGTGTGTGTCGTGTGAGTTTTGATTGGTTTTAGAGGTTATGCAGATGTCCTATCTTTTGAAAATATTTTTCCTTCTAAATTTTATTTATTGAATTTGAGAGAGAGATATTTGTTGTCCCACTTATTTATGCATTCATTGATTGATTCCTGTGTGTGTGTCAGAGAGAGAGAAGAGACACTTTTGTTGTTTCACTTATTTGTGCATTCTTTGATTGATTCCTATATGTGCCCTGACCAGGTATAGAATCTGCAACCTTTGCATATCAGGACAATGCCCTAACCACCTGAACTACTTTGTCCAGGGCTCTTCTGGAAATTTTTTAAATTAGGTTTTTCTAAATAAATAAATAAATAAATACCATTAATTGTTAAAATATTTTTATTTTTTTTAAATCCCTATTTCATCTGTAGCTATGTTCTTCTTATTCCCAGAATTACTTGTTTGTATTTATTTCCTCATGGTTAGATTTCCAGAGGTTTGTTAGTTTTACTAGTCATTTAAAAGAATTAACTTTCAGTCTTTTATAATATCAACTTTACTGATAAAGCAATATCATACTTGCTTTACATAAAATTCACCCATTTAAAGTGTCTGTTAAATGTGACTAATGTAATACCTGTTTGACCACCATCATAACTGTGTATGTGTGGGGGATGTAGTATAGTTTTTTCATTTTCTCTGCCCCATGAATTTTCTTGGCCTTTTAAAATACTCAACTCTTTCACTGTTTTGTCTACTGTTTATTTTCTATTGTATTTATTTCTGTTCTAATTTTTATTATTTCCTACCTTCGGCTAACTTCGAATTTAGTTCTTCTACCTTCTTGAAGTGTAAAGTTAGGTTGTTCGTTTGAGATCTTTTTTAATGTGGTCATCTGCTACTATGAACTGCTCTGTTCGTACTGCTTTGGCTTCATCCCATAGTTGTTGGTATATTGTGGTTTTGTTTTCATTTGTCTCAAGATATTTTCTCACTTTTCTTGTGATTTATTCTTTGACCCATTGGTTGTTCAAGAGTGTGTTGTTTAATTTCCACGTGTGAATTTTCCAGTTTTCCTTTTGCTACTAATTTTTAGTTTCATTCCATTGTTGTTGGAAAAGATACTTAGTGTGATTTTTTTTCTACTCTAGACAATGAAAGGGAAACTTTATAGAGGTCCCAGGGCCATGAAGTTGAGGCAGAAGGCTGTCCTGTGGGTCCTTGGGGCACAGGTTGTTGGTGTGGCCACACTTCTTCTTGTGGGAGTTGATAGTACCAGGAGTAACACTTGCAGCAGATCATCTTGTCACACTTGTACTTCTGAGTGAGCTGACAGAGGGAGGGCTCGATGATGCTACCCTGCAGACAAAGCACCAAGTGCTGGGTGAACTCTTTTTGAATGTTGTAGCCTGAGAGAGTGTAGCCATCCTCCAGCTGTTTGCTTACAAAAATCAGCTGCTGCTGGTCAGGCAGGATGTCTTCCTTGTCTTAGATTTTAGCTTTGATGGTCTCACTGGTGTCACTTGGCTGAACCCTGAGGGTGATGGTCTTGCCAGTGAGGATCTTCACAAAGATCTGCTGGGGAGGCTGCTCCACATCTTGTTGAAGAGATACATAGTGTGATTTCAATCTTCTTATATTTGTTAAGACTTGTTTTGTGACAGAACATGTGATCCATCCTAGAGAATGTTCCATGTGCACTTGACAATTTGAATCTCTGAGTTTATCCTTTTTTTTTTAACACTTTGTCCAGCAACATTAGGAGTAACCAGCCAATATTATTAAATTCACTGATGTTTTGTGTTTGTCTCAGCTTATGATAATAATGTATGGGCTAGAAATGCTGGACATTTCCCTGACTGGAACCGATGTTGTGGCTGGAAAAGCCTTTGTGATTCTTACTATGATTTCAGGACCTCACTACCAGCTATCACAGAACTTAAAAAAAACATTATTACTTACAAACCCTGAAGACTACCTGGCACACTCAAGGGCCATATAGCAAGCTCATGGGTAGAGAGAGAGGAAGAGTATGGACCTGGGTCTTGCCTTTATAGGGGGCCAAGGGTGGAGTGCCTAGGGTTTCACAGCTTTACTTGTTATTGGCAAATTAAAAACACAAGAGCCAGAATTAGGGTGTGGGAAGGGGAGACCAGAGTCACTGAAACAGTCAGTTATCTAGGTTACCCAGGGTTCTCTAAAAGGGAACTCTGTGGTTGTGGTGGCCTGGATCTTTTTCTATGTAGCTGGCTGTGTGTTTATTAGAGATGGATGCCTTGGTAATCAAAAGCCTAATGTCAGGCACTACATGATAATCTAAAAGCTTAATGTTAGGCACTTACACTACAGTTAGTTTTCCAAAAATGTTTCTTCTAGTGCCTTGCTTCTCTAAAAGGTTGATTAGAAGAATCCAATGCAGGTATTTTGTGTATCTCCATTGCCAGGCACTCCGTGGACTCTTAGTGCTCTTTTTACTACTGGAGATAGTCATCAGCATCTTTAAATCTAATCAGATAGCCAATTAGAACTCACAGAACCAACTCGGAAAACTCACCCTTAAAATTCTGTTTTTCTAGAACTACTCTTGGTACCAAATTCTATATTAGTCAGGGTTTCCAGAGAGAAGCAGAACCCATAAGACTTAAGTTTTTGTTGAACAATGTCTTTATTCTTGCCCCAGTTCTTAATGTATATTTTCATTGTGTATAAAGGTCTTTGGTGCCTGTTATTTTTCTCTTAGCCCTTTAAGGATATTGTTATACTTTTGCCTGGCCGAGCTTTTCTATGACTTCATGATGATGATTTGTGAGCCTAATTATTTCTGGTCTTACTATGAAACACTTGTGTTGTGGGTGTTTCTCCAAAGAAGAATTGAATAAATTCATGTTTGGAACTAAGATTTCATGGACCACGCAGGAAATAAGACTTCAAATGCCAAACCTTCCTGGGGACAGGTGTATGATTACGATTTACTAGGGGAAGATCACCCCATTCTGGGGACTGATAGATGTGTAAGTATCCCTATGTGCTCCCATTTTTGGTGGTTAGAGTTACTTTATACCTTCTGTTTCACTGAAGGTCTCCGCCATGCATGGTGTCCTAGATCTGCTTCACCACTGCCCATCCCCAGTCACTCCCAGTCTTCTGGCTTTAACTTTTGAATCCCAATGTCCCAGGTTGTTAAGGTTGGCATGTAAAGCAGGAAATTTCTGGTTTTGTTTCTTTTTTAGAAATGCAACATTTTATTAACCCAATTGTTTTCACAATGAAACCATTGTTGCCACAATTATTGATATAACTAGAAGAGAGGTAAGGCCTTTTCTTCCCTCCCTCCCTTCCTTTTCCTTCTACAAAATTTCCTTTATCTTTGTCTATGTATGTTTCTCTTTTCTGAACTATTTAGAAACTAAATTGCCAACATCATGATTTTCATTTGTAATGTCATATATCTTATAAGAATCTGTATCAGCATGTATCTTTTATGGGCAAGTACATTCTCCAAATTATTCAACCCAAGAAACCTAAGATCTCTACAGTAATATTATCTAACATATGCTCAGTTTAATTTATCTGCAGTGATCCCTAAGTGTTACTTCCAGCTCCACTGTCCAATTTCCAATCAGTGGTTACACACTGTGTTTATTCATCCTATCTCTTAAGTCTCCTTCAGTCTAAAATGATTTTTCCACCTCTTTTTGTCTTTATGACATTAACATTTAAGGAGTCCAGGCCTGTTTTCTGAGTATTTTCTTATGTTTAGATGTAGATTAAGCATTTCTGGCAATAAATCTATATAGAGATGTATAATTTTCATTAAGTCACATGCAAGAAACTCAAGATGCCCACTTGTCTTGTTTTTCCTAAAGCTGAATTTGTTTGTTTTGTTCACATGTTGTCCAGATTTCCTCATTATAATTAACAATCTTTCCTTTGGACTTAATAAGTAATCTATAAATATTTTGTTTTCCAACAGCCTTTCATCTAGTGTTTTTGGACTCCTCTGATGATCCTCACCTGAATAATTATTGCATTAGTACTTACAAAATGGTGCTTTCTAAATTCTACTCTTCCTTCTACACTTGGTGGCTGGCATTTTTGTGAAAAGAAGAGCTTTCTGTTTCTACCTCCCCTCCAGGCAATCCACCCCCCACCTCATCTTCCCCACTTCTCACCTCCCTGTCCTCTAGTAATCACTGCTTTGTTTTTTGTCATCCTTGACTAGTTTTACCTGTACTTGGTCATCATTTAAATAAAATCATATAGTGTGTAACATTCTTTTCTATCCGACTTCTTTGCTCCATATTTTGTGTGACTGAACCATCTTGCATGCATCAGTAATTTGTTCTTTTTCACTGGTGCTGTAGTATGAATATACTACAGTTTGTTTCTCCATTCTACTGTTGAGTATTTGAGGTGTTTCCAGTTTTTGGCTATTCTGGATAGAACTGCCAAGAGCATTCTTGGTAGTTTTATACTTTTCTCTTGAGTATATAAGTCTAGGAGCAGAATTCCAGGGTCATAGAGCAGGCATTTGTTTAGCTTGATAAAATAATGTCAAGTGGTTTTCAA